ACAACTTACCCTCCTTGTGTACCTAGGCATCCACGCTACATCAACCCCATCAAGGTATGCCAAGTGTCCATGAAGCTGCCATCACTGCCAAACCTCAGTCCGAGGGAGGAGCCCTACGCTACCGTTGCTGAGGGAGGTCGGGCAACATGTGCGTTGCTGCACTCGTGCATTCTCAACACGCATACCCAGGTACAGAAGCTGAATGTTTGGAAATCTTCCCACGCACGGACTTTGAATATTCCTCATGACATGCTCGAAGGCCAGCACGAAGCTTAAGGCTCTTGGGGTGGAAGAGAGGCTTAACTCACACTGTCTCCATCTTCTTTTCCATTATCCCTATATCATTCCTATATTCCCCCTATAGTACTATACTGCCCCAATATTTCCCCTACAACTCTGTCAGGCACACACAGCCAACGGCATCAATCATCGATTGGCAGCAACTAAGGGTCTGGCTTGTTGATGCCATCTGCATCCTTCTTGAGCTGCTCACTCTTGGCTTTGGCCTCTTTCCTCTTCCTTTCAATGGAAGCTTGAGAGTTTTCTGAAGCTTCAGAGACTGATCTGTACTAAGAGGGAACTATTGCAAAACACTGGTGCTATCTACAATTGCGACTGAAAGACTACCCAGGACCTGTACAAGCAACAAAACTGAATCTTTGGTAGTCTGAGCAAGGCCCCACAATGGAATCAGAGCCCAGCCAGCGAGGACACCTCACAGAACCGTGCAAAGCGTTTCCAAGTGCCAATCCAAGGTTCTGGCGCTTTGCACCTGGGATGCCGGACTGCAGAAAGCATGCGGTGGGCTTGGGCAGCTTACGGGGTGCGGGGGAGCGTATATATATATATATATAGTGAATATAGCATAATATAATATATGAATACAGATATATAATATGATGCATTACAGTAGATTACAGTGTATTATGGTATATCATAATGTATTATGATATAATATGGCCTACTACAATATATTATAATGTATTATAATGTGTTATACTTTATCATAGTGTATTACAGTATGTTACTGTGTATTATGGTATAATATGGTATATTATAGTATATGGGTGCGAAGGTACGCTGACCCCAGTGAAGAACTCCACGCCCCCACCCCCATCCCCACCTGCTCCACCCCCACTTTCATGTCGTGACAAGCTTCTCCCGTCTTTCGTAGTTTGTCAAATGCAGTTGCCACGTAATGGTAACATGTAGTCATGTAGCATGCAATTTAGAATGAGGGGCTGAGTTGGCAGCTGAGGGCTACCTCAGGCCACATACTTGCCAAGTCTAACCTTTCTGCATCTTAGATCCTGGAGTTCAAGCCTTAGGGATAAAGGAAACGGGAAAATCGGGCATATATCTATTCAAAATGATATCATACTGACATGAGCATGCTTGAGTCCCGTCTACCTTAGGGCTGCTAGCATGATCCGTGAAATCAGAAATCTGAGCGAGAATGGAACCACCTCGTAATTCTTGCGTGGCTGTAGTAGACTGGACTCTCGTGTAGAACGGCTGGTGCTATTGCTGTGGGGATTTTGAAGCAACGTCACCTCAGATATACCTCAAAAGCGTGTCCTGAACGGAAAGGCAGACAAGGTGCGCTTCTTGTCTGTAGCAGCTTCATCTGCCGCTATCGCTGCTTCTCGCTTGGCCTGAAAATCTGTAGCCTGCCCCAGGAATCGGAAGCGTGCACTGGAAACAGAAAAAGAAATGCTAACGGCAACCAACAGCTTTAAATAAATTGAGCGGCAGTAACCGTGGCCGTAATAGCAATACCGAGTTGCGGCAGAGGAAGCTACAATAGCAAGCGGCACTTGTGAAACGTCTTCCCAGCTCTTGGATGTAGGGAAGCAGGAATGGGGAGTCAAAGATGACCAGGAAGTCATAGATGACATACAACAGCAAAGGGAGGTGTTGTTGGCATCTGATACAAGCCGACACATCAAACATCCCAATTTTGGGGCCCCATCATCTGTATCCAGATTCCACACCTTTAGAACTGAAATCGCGCGCTACCCTACAAGTGAAAGAACAACTTGAGTTCTAGCCTTTTTGCTGCCATCTAGTCTATATTTCAACATTCATGACCGTTCATTTAGTGTGGTATTGCCAGGTGCTTTGGTTAAGCAAATATAGGGCATGACCGCCTGCTTGCCGCCGGGCTTTTGGTTTGGCTTGTGGCAACCACACTTGCAGACTTAAAGGATTTCTTGGTGCATTAAAGCCCAAACTGGCCCCCTTGCCCTCGCCTACAGCCCTTGAAGGCGCTCGTAAAGTTTCAGAGTATTTGACAAAACTTCTCCGCTTGAATCCTTAGGAGCTTCCCTATATGTACGTAGCGCCACTCAGCCCCCTCCCCCCCTTTTCGAGAACCTCCCATACTACTATGGAAGCCAATGTGTGGCCTCCTCCAACGCAGCATAATCCTTGTCCATCCTTAGTTGCCTACGGTTGCTGAAACCTTGTAGAAGGGGTCTTCTCAGGGATCAGGCTTCAAAGTGGAGATTCTAAGGACTTATACGCTTTGGGTATATTATAATAAGATCTCCAGATACCCCATATTCTATCTACTTAAGGGGGACTATGGGTATGAGACATGGGGAAGTTGGGGTTGGGGCTTGTTTATGGGGTCACATTGGGGTTATATTACGGTGGCTGTCAAAATTATGGTCCCTTTTTGGGTACCCTAACAGGGATCCAAAAAAGGACCGTAATTTTGACAACCACCTATATGAGGATAATGGAAAAGAGCATGGAAACTACAATAATGGGTTTAGGGTTTAGGGATTAGGGAGATGCTGGATCCAGAGATGCCTCACCACGGAACCCAAGGTGCTAGGTCTGGTAAAGCCCAGGGTCAGAACAGTGGGGATCATGGTGGGAAGACTTAGCCCTCAAACCCTAAACCCACAAAATCCGCCCCAGCTATCACGACATGCCCAGGCTATCCCAGGATAAAGAAATGAGTGCCCGAAGAGGACCTGGTGATGCATTCCCCTTCATGAATCCCCCACCAGCCGCAAATGATGATATGATATGCCTGTATATACTGGTATTGTATAGGGAGGATTCATGGTCAGGGGGTTTCTCATCCTAGTTCTGATGAATTTCCCCTCCTGGTACTCGATTGGGAAGATTCAGTATGAGGGGCGGTTTCATACTTTTAAATATAACCGGGAAGGGACTAATTAGTCAGACTGGTAATGCTAAACCGGCCACGGGAGGCTGCAAGTTTCATCATCATTCAACAACCGATCAGTGTATCATGGTTCCTGAACTTCCCCAAAAGGATTACAGCGACCCCCAAGCCCTACCCGACAAAAATCCTACATTTTGACAAGCCCCTGAATCAATGTTGGCGAAAAAACCGACTCGCTGAATACTGCCAAGCATCTTCTCTAGTCGGGCCTTGGCTGCGCTAGGTTGCTGTTGAGGAACCTAAACTTAGTTACTATAATACGGAAACCCTGCTCTTTACTATGTAGCCATGTTATGGTAATTTCACCATGAATTCCTTAATAGCAACCTGGTGAAGCTGGATCAGTCGGGTCTTCACCCAATGAAGGCTTGTACTTGCACATTTTCTGTAGGGATCTGACTTGGCTTTGTATCTCACGTGAAGTTTCAGTAGGGCCGATGCTCACAGCGCTGGCAGCAGTGAGAAGAGTTTTTGTGGAAGATAGGACGGGGAGAACGTTTAACTGCCGGCATGGAAGGGAACATGATCCCAACTTCCTTACTCAAGCTTTTCTCGGAGGCGATGCCCTATGCCCTATTCCATGGAAACCTTAATGGCCCAATACTCAGTTACCCACCTGCTGCCGCCTTGCCTCTCAAAGGGAGAACCTCCACGGCCCCATAACCTTACAAAACAACCCTGTCAGATCTGAAGCCCGAGCCCGAAAGAACCTCTACTTATAAGAGTAATAATACCAGGAATAGTATTAGTAAGTGTAATAGTGATAATATAGTGATAATAATAATAGCAATAATAATAGTAATAGTAATAGTAATAGTAATAGTAATAGTAATAATAATCATGGCAATAATAATTGATAGTAATAGTAATAGTAATAACAATAATAGCAATAATAATTAATAGTAATAGTAGTAGTAATATAGCTGAAACTAATTGCGGAAAAGCTGCCATCTCAATTCTTCTGTGCCTCGGCTGTCTTAGAGGCCGCAGAAGGGAACTTTTCTGCCGCTGCTGGACTTCTTCGCTATTTGTAATCAAAACCTCGTCACCTTCCAAACGCAACTGACCGCCAAGTTGTTGCTTTGAGACAAAGGGTTTTCCTACGAGTTTATCCTGAGCCCAGACGCTTGTAGTAAATGGGAATGGAACAGCTTCCCGAACCGGCGCTGCTGCCATAGGTGTTCCACACCTGCAAATGCCGGAGCCTTCTGGTACTCAGGGTCTTTCGCAGTTTGAAAATAGCGGGGCTGGCTTGATAAAGGACTTATGCCTTCGTTGGGGTTGGGCTTTTCTGTCTGGGCTTGGAGAGCGCTGTATAAACTATACAGTATAGACCCCAGCCAACTCAGAACTTCATCATCTGCGCAGATTTCCAGCCTTCTCAAACACGGCCCGGCTGTTGGCAGCTGCCTTCCTGAGGACTAGCATCACGCATTAAAATTCCCTGAGGCTGCCTGCATGCCTTCAAAGCAAATTTTGAGAGTGTGTAGTCTGCTTAGCGATGAATGCTGGCGAGGCTCTCATCGCTCGGGTCAGTTTTGACCTTATGGCGTCACCCGGATCACTGACATTCCAAAGTTTCTTACATGTGCGCGAAATGGTAGACCTCTGAATAACGAGGAGTATGATACCCTCGTAGATTTCAAAAGTATCATGCTTCAATCTACCAGAATCCCGGGTCGAATTAGTGAGGCTGTTAGACAGCGCTCTACATCCTCCGCATTTTGTACAGGCCAGATGGTCGACCGTGCTTGGATTTGACGTGTCGGCAGAGTTCAGCATGCAACTTACCGACACACTAGTGCCTGAAGATCAGAATGGCGCCGGAACCATGTGATGCTTTGTGAACCCAGCTTACCTTGCACCCAGCACAAAAGAAGATCCCTGCACAGACATCGCAAGTCCACAGTTTCGATGTCGCTATCCTAGTTGCTCTGATCTTCTTTCTTCAGGGGTGGAGAGCTGAATGGAATTCCAATTCCAATCCTTTGTGCCCATATAATGATTTCCCACAGACCGCATACTCCCGAAGAGACAGGCAGCTGTGATCTTGTCTGCCGGCCCGGATCCTCGAATGGCGACGGCCTGTACATTGGCCTTCGAGGGCTTGATGGCCTGCCAAGGCCGTACGTGATGCAAGCATGAGGCTTTAGCGGGTGCTATATGGTAATTTCCAGAATAAGGGAACCCCAATATAGACCCCAAAATAATACTATAATCCTTATTATAGGGACCCCCAAAATGGTACCCCTAATTTCAGGAAACCCCTATATCTTCACAGGGCCCCAAAGGGCAGTGTCAGGATTTAAGCGTCAGACGGTGTCTCAGCTCTTCGAACGCTTGGGTGGAGGGCTTTGGGCAGAAAGTTTGGCTAAGGGGTTCGCAGATGTTTGTGTGCAGGGCATGAGATGCAGGGTGTAGGGTTTCAGGAAATAGCATATGCTGAGCATGTAGACATATAACATTCTAATGGAGCCGCCAAATGGCAGTCAGGATGGTTTTGACTTTGACTACTCGCAGCTTTTCTACATTACTGAGTCCAGCGGTGGATTTCACTCGATAGGGTTTAAGGTCTAGGGTTCACTCCTAGGATAATTGTTCAACTGGATTAAAGGCTTGTGCAAGCCCTATGTATAAAGCTTGGCTAACCTTAACTACAAAACTTCAGGCAATATGGTAATTTCCCTAAATAAGGGGACAACGTATAGGCCCAAAAATACTATAACCCTGATTATTAGGACTCCCAAAATGGGGAAACCCCCGTATAGCCAGTGGACTGCAGACCAGATGCGGTGGCCTGGATCCCACAAAACAGAAAACGGTTCAGCATCCTTCCCCCGCATCTGAAGATCCACAAGGCCCCAATCCTAGTCATAATAACAGAATGATAATCGGAATGATCGCAGTTATATTATAATGATAGTGATAATAGTCATAATAACAAGAATAGTAGGCATTGCAGTAGTAACAATACTGCATAAGCCCGAGTCATAGCCCTCCAGCTGGTCCTTCGCCAACCCCAAAGCGCCAAGCTACTGCAACGACATGAGCTACTCCCAAAATTTCGGGACCCTGCGAAGCAGACGCTATCATGGCACCTCAGCCTTCAGGATACAAATTACGAGATTCTAGACCCTAAACTTCTAAACCGAATAGAATCCCTCAACCCTAAACCCTATATGGACACATGCCCCCGCCTTTGCCATGCACTCGTCCGCCCACCTTGGCTTTGGCTTTGTGGGTCAACCGTGCGGCTCTGCCTTCTCAACGCTACAGCAAAGGCAACATTTTTGAAGGATTCTTGCGCATTTTATGTCTAGGCTAAGAACACAAGGCGCGCAGTGCAGATTGAAACGTCCAGTTTCATTGCCTCAAGGACAACTTGATTTAGGCTTTGGTTAAGGCGTTGGAAAATACTGCTTGGAACAATTGGGGTCCCCAAATTTAGGGAAACTCCCACATGAACTTTCTTCTGCCAAGGAGATCACGCCTGATCTGCATCGAAATGGCCTGGCAAGGTATGCTTTTGAACCCAGATGTGTCTAAACCCTAAACCCAAACTATGGTCCATCTTCATGGGTTCGTATACCAAGGCTTCCATTGACCAAGAGGTTGACCACATTTTTGGCACCTACCCACATCCTTCGGAAACCTTACAAAGCCAAGGGACGCATTGCTGGCGGCCAACGAACACTTGTTGACCTGGCGGTTCTTTCAAAATACAGGCCCCCTGGGGACCCTAGGGTGTAGGTTTAGGGTTTAGGGGCTGTATGCGGATTAGTCCCCCTTCCCTCCACCGACGAAAACTGCCATGAGGCTACCAATCATTAGATTGTGTGGAGTTCAGCTATTTGCGAGATTACAAATGCAGTATGGGGTATCCCCACTGACGACTCTCTGAATCCTACATAATCTCAGTTTCCATGTCAGTTTCCATGCTCCTTTCCATTTGTTCTGCATTTGGCCTACATAGTTCCCCATGCAAGCTCTATAAACACCATATACACTCTATACCACAAACCCGCAATATTTCAAGAAACGTCCACCTCGTCCATGGTCATCCCTGATTCCAGCGCCAGCATGGTAGCCTGGTTTAGGGTTTAGGGTTCAGCCAGTGTTCAGGTGGACCCTCACCCAGGAATAGTGGCTGTAAGGGATAATGGTGATTGTATTAGGGCCCTCGTGTATTCCTATTATACCACCATTCCAGGGTGGAGGGTGTGCCTAAGGTCTACTCGAGCTACGTATATTACGGCAGGAGAGCTTTATTTACGGTGGTAGTGCTAAGGGACTGAAGGATATTACCTCTTTAGAACTTGGGTATTTCTGTACCAGGGTCAAGGGCCTGCTTTCATTTATGTTGTCAGCTTTACTCGGTCAGAATTTAGGGCTCAGGGAATCAGAATTTGTCGTTGAGGATCCAGCAGTTCGATTTGAGGTGTAGGTGCTGGGCCACAACTTGAACCTGCAGGTTTCAGCCGTTACATGGTCAGAATGGCGTTGTGCCTAAACTAAAAGGTTTGCCTTCGCAGCGCTCAAAAATACCAGATACTAGCAAGGACCACGCAAGAGATGTCAACATCTTCATGTGCGAATTGCAACCCCACAAGAATGCGCGTGCCTCGACTCTCCGGCACTGTATGGAACAACGGAGGGTTTCAAAGGCCTACATACAGCCCTTTGCTGTTGCAGTAGGTGCGTCCAAGATTCAAAGGCCGCAGGGCGGGCAGAAACTGCCCCGGAACGAAGACGTCTCTACTCTCGTGCTTCTTGATCAGCCGCAGGAGACAGTCGCTGACATGTGCTTACAAGAACGGACCTGCGTGGTGGATTGCTGACTTCCAAGCTAGAACATATCTACAGGCTAGTATATATAAATATATAAAAGGGTCATATTGGGATCATGGAAATGAAATTGAAACTACTATAGTTTACTGGGCTTATATAGGGATAATGGAAAATAGAATGGAAGCTACTGGGTCCCTCTGGGCACGTCGCATCAACTATTGCGAACCTCTGAACCTGCTCAACTTGCATCAAACCCTGTCTTGTAGATCCCAGATTCCGGCATGCCTCAGCAGAAAGGGCGCTATCACATCGCAGAGCTACTAGATTGTGAGTAAACCAAAATGGACAATGCTTCTGAGGCATGCTGCAACAGTGGAAGCGTCTTTAAACTGCAGCACCGCACCGTCAATACAGAATCCGTCCATGGCTAGGAAGCCCTGCACGGCTAGACGCCATGCCATCCCTCAACGTCAGCTCAAACCCTAAACCGTCCCGAAGAGAGCTTCATGAGTATAAGTCTCAAATGAATTCTACCTTTATATACATGGACCCTGCAAATGCTACACCCGAAACACAGGGCCATAAAGACGTGAAACACCGGTACTCGAGTTCGCGCCGCCGCCAGAGACTCAGGCACAGGCTGCGGTGGCGAGGCTTCGGGACTGCAGCCATCGGACTCTTGCGTAGGACCTGCTTCCAAGGCTCCAGCCCCAATTCTAATAGAAATATTCACATAATACTAATACTAGTACTGGTAATAGTACTGAAAATTGTGAACAATTGTAGGACAAGGTTTTGGAAGCTTGTCTGGGCTTGGCCTACCATGCCAGACCAGGAAACCAACATGTTAGGGGCTTCGGGCTTTGAGCCCGAACAAATGGGTCTTCTGCCTGAAGGATTTCGGCCACGGAGCAAGCCACATCCGCATGAGCCTCTTGTTTTGCAAGTTCTGTACATTGCATTCCTTGCTGGTGACATTGGTGGTGAAGTCTGCAGGACACCGTTTCTTTACACGTTACGGCCTGACTACAGACACATATTTCGATGCCTTCACCCTTCCATGAACAGCCCTCAACTGTACAAAGGAGGGTGCCTGTCATGGAGGGTGCTGTATGGCCATGCAGCGCTAAGACGCTCCACATGTCTGCAGGCAATTGAAGAACAGGCATCGAAGGTACACCACACAACTGGATACCACATGCCTCCAAATCCTGGGAGCAGCAGCGTTTCCCTGTATCAACTCCAGTGCATCATGCAACAACAAGAGGGCAATCTACGCGCAGGTGTGACATTGTCTTCGGACGTCTGGTGTTGCGCTCAACTCTGAACTCGTCGTCGTCTTCTTCGTCATCCTCCTCGTCCATCTCCACAAACGTGTTCCGCACCACGATCTTGGGCTGCTGCTGGGCAAACTTAATGCGCTCCCTGAGGAGTGCAAGGTCCGCGTCAGGCAGGAAGCGAGGTTCTACGCCTTCGTGAACGCCTGGTGCAGTGGATCCCCCATTGGCGCGGCGGTATGCTGTCTTCTGAAGTGTGAAGGCTTCAAAGAAGCGTGTGCGCACATGATTCCACTCTTCTCGCGGCACCACACATTGGTACGGAACAAGCTGGCGACCATCTAGAAGGTTGTAGGTATGAGCCGTCTCACCGATGTTCTCCAGAAACAGCTGGATGTAGTCCGAGAGGTAGAACCTGGGATAGACTCTGACTTAGGGGCCCGAATCAAACTGAACTTTCAGTGGCTTTATATAGGGCTTATATTGGGGGGTATGGTCCATAAGAATTCTAAAGCATTTCAAGAATATCCTGGGAACTTGTTGCTGCCAGCCATGGCTGGGTGGTACCGAACCCACGTGGTAAGTCCCATGCGCTGGCCAGCATCAATGCGTGTCACGGCACTTCCTGCATTCGGTGACTGCACCGGAAGCTGAGGCATACCCCGCTTGAAGCTCTGAATGGCCAGGACAACATAGAACTGTTGATCCACGGATCGCATCTCTGAGACCCCAGGACGGTTGAGGAACCACTGAGCCGTCCGGCGGCCAGACTCCAATAGCATCATGTAGTGGATCTTCGCCCAGTTTCCGAACTTGTCTTCTGGAATGCGGAGTATGCAAGTCACAGCAAACTTCTCGGATTCTCCTTGGGGCCGGCACACCAAGATTCCCTCGAGTGGCTCAGACTCGTCAAAGAATGCACAGGCGCTGTCCCCGCGCTCAGGGTAGTCTCGTCGCACTCTCTGATGTAGTTCAGTCTGCTTCGCCGGGTCATAGAAGAAATAGTTCATGAAGTGGCCAGCAAGGTCGCCAAAGAGAACGCTGCAAAGCCGAAGCAGCCGCCACGAGGCCCAGCGCTTTACAACTGCATCGCCTGGAGCCAGCTGATTCAAGACTTCGAAGCTTGTGCCAGGGGTCGGATTTGTGGTGTGCTGCCACGCCCGCACCTCAGGCCTGACAATGACACCTGCGGTATTCTCCGGGGCATCGTTGATGTTGATGTCCTGGTAGGCAAACTTGATGAGGTGGCCGCCCCAAGGGCTAATGCAATGCGAAAGGGTGGACAAAGGCCTTGCCAAGCTGATCTCCCATCCGTCCTGGGAAAGCAAGCCTGGGGCCAGATGGAACCAATCTTCAACACGCTCAGGTCGCACTGCCATGGCCAGCTATGATGCTGATACTCTTCAAATTTAAGCCTCTTTTGGGCAATCACACGGCTGCAGCCATTCCCTCAACCATCCACTATTCCAAGGCCCAGGCGAAACCCAAATCCGGTAAGAAGTGATGCCGTGCATCTGGCACCAACTGTACGTAAACCGCCCAAGGCCAAAGAGCTTGACCGGGCACATCGACCATATCACGCCTATTGTCCTGTGTGAGTGGCAGAAATCCATGCATACAGCACACACACGGGCTGCTAGTCACATACGGGTTCTGGATGAGGTTGGATGGAAACCTCTCTTTGCTGCACCTTTCCTCAGTATTGTTTAATGGCAGGACTGCCTGGAGACCTACCGACCGATTAAACATCGTAACCGCGGCCCCACCCCGGGCCGAGATTAGCCCCTCCTTAGCAGCAAGAAACGGCTAAAGCATAAAACTAGACCAGACGACCTACTGTAAACCTTAATGCCTCAACCCTGATTTGTGTGCGGAATCCGGTGCGTCCCACTCTACCGCAATACACACGAATTTACATGTGTGTAGATATATATATATGTACATGTATGAATACACACACATATACATATATACACATAGAAATGTATATACGTGTGTCTGACAGTGTAGATACAATAGTGTGTCTGAACTCTGTAATCCCCCGAGGCAGGCAACGAGCTTTGACTCCAACCTGCTCGATGGCAGCTTATGAAATAACTGGGGCTGCTAACCGGTCAACCGATCCACCACCGAAATGCTGGGTTGTATACCTGCCATATACCCTATATGTAACCCTTAAGGGTCCCGAGAATCCCCCTAAAAGGCCTAAGGCCCATATTAGAGGCCCATACTTCAGCTCAGAGGGACTCGAATCCTGTGACTGTGACCCTTTGCGGTCGCCTCGGGTCGAGGAGGCTCCAGCAATCCACCGCTCAGCCGATGCTGGTGACTGGGAAGCTGTGGCTTGCACCGTCTCGCAATTCTTGTATAAGGTAAGGTGGTAGTCATTCAGCAAGATAGGAATACAATACAGTTGTACCCCGATTTGGTTTTGGACTGCGGATTCAGGACTAGAACTCAGGGATGGTTTAAGGCTTCTGAAAGGGAGCACTACGGGGATCCTGAATGAATGACTGCGCTAGGATTTGTAGCCGGGTTGGCAAAGTCGCCTATGCTTTCCCCAAGGGTGATCTCCTTCCACGTACCTTTAACCTTTTGGAGCTCTGCACTTAGAAGAGGAGCCTGATCAGGCTCCAGAGCGATTGATAGGCGAAGGCTGGAGTTTGGGGTGGGGTTTAAATGGTAGGGATGGGATTACCCCAAACTCTGTTCAGGGCTGTAGGGCTTCAGGGGCTGAAGACCTTTACATGGATGTCTGCTGTCCCCCTTCTAGCAATTCTTGCTCTCTCCGTCTACCGGTTCTAGTGGCTTCCTTCTCCGAACGAGAGGACTATGATATGTGAATGCAGCGGGTCTAGGGTATAGAAACGTTAGAGCCGCTGGCCGCTGACCACTTGCTCAATTGTGTTCCACCTGCTTCTCAGCTTATACCCTATAAGGATTATATTAGATTGAGGATCTCATACCGCTACCCTAAGGTTTGGGGGGTAGCTTGGGAACATTCGTCATTATTGTTA